TTATTTTCAATGAGCACCCACCCACCCACCCCTGCTTTGTAACCACATGTCTCCAGAGCTCCTCTGGAGATAACATCTTGTAGCTTACCCACCCCCCCACCCCTCTTTTTACTTCATTCATAAATGTCTTGTAACCGAAGCCCAGGAAATATGAGGGAAAATGCCTATAAGGGGGGAACCTCTCGATGTGTGCAATTCACAAAAATTTAGAAATCCGCGTTGATCCTGCATCTGAAGCTTTGAAATGCTACCTCACCGTGTATTGAACATACCTCAGGTGTGTAGAGATGGCGTCTCACTAATTGCATTCACAGCTCGCAGCCACACTACCTGTTATGTCTTGTTGCCCTGAGGAGGGGGAAAAAAAAAGAGAGAAATCCGTATGTATGTGCTTTTAAAAATTGGAATGCGGAGACGAGCATACTGTCAGTTGTCTCTAATTATGTGTCTTTCTGGAGAGGCAGTTGATGTGTTCTCTCCAGACCTTTTTCTGATGAGGTGATTAATCAGTTTTTCTGTGGCTGTGATAACACCTGAGTTCAGGTGTGGCGGGCTTAGAGGCAACTTCACAGAATGCCTCATTTTTGAAGTGCTAAGTGATTGTTGTCCCTCTTTCTCCTTGTATGGGAATGACAGAAAAAGCACCCAAATTGGGTGATTGACTCAGATAAGATCATTATTTTGCCTTTCAAGATGATGAAAAGCTTTGTTGTATTCCTCAGAATGCTTTCATTGGTTAACCCAAATGTGTTTCCAGTTAGAGTGACTCAATAGTTTTATCACGGCCAACTAACAGTCTTTAAATTTGGTGTTGTGGTACGTTTTTCAGAAACAGCCTACAAGCTCAATCTCATCTATCCGAGTTCGTGTCTCGCTCTGTCCCCCAGCCTGGAGTTCAGTGGCACGCTCACGGCCACCACAGCCTCAATCTGCTGGCTCAGGTGATCTTCTGCCTCAGCCTTCCAAGTAGCTGGAACTGCAGGCACACGCCACCACGCCCAGCTAATTTTTTGATTTATTGTAGAGACAAGATCGCCAATTTGCTCAGGGTGGTCTCGAACTCCGGACTCAGGCAGTCCTCTTGCCTTGGCCTCCTAAAGTGCTGGGGTTACAGGCATGAGCCACCACGCCCGACTAAGCCTCATCTATTTTCATCAGAAAGAGTGGGCCCCTCCATGACAAAAAGCACAGGAAAAGGTGAATCAGTAAATAACAACAGCATACAATATAAATAAAGGTGACAGCATGTAATGTCACACCAAGAAACCACCTAACTCATCAGCTTTAATTTACGGATGAGCAGAGAGTATCTCAGCAGCACACAGTGGCCATGTGGCGCTGTGGGATTGAGCCGGCCTTTTCTGACCTCTGTTTTCGTGCCATCTCTCCAATATCTTGCCAGATATTTGTTTGTGAAAAACAAAGGGTTTCCTCTCCACTTCCCCAGGGATAATGACTGCTCACTGAAGCTGTGGCAAGGCCTGGGTTTAAAATGATTATTTCCTGGAGAAGCATATTAATTTGACCTTTCTTATATTTGAGTTGTTTTCAGCAATATACAGTTTTACCAAGGCGAGAGGATCCCTTGAGCCCAGGAGTTAAGACCAGTGTGGACAGCATAGCAAGACCCTGTCACTACAAAAAAAGTTTTTTTAAATTAGCTGGCCGTGGTGCCATGTGCCTGCAGTCCCAGCAACACGGGAGGCTGATGCCGAAGGATTACTTGAGCCCAGGAGGTCGAAGCTATAGTGAGCTCTGATTGTGCCACTGCACTCCAGCCCCTGGGTGACAGAATGAGACACCAACTCAAAAGCAACAATGCGTATATATCTCTATGGTCATACGAGTCACTGAAGGGAAGTTTCTTGAACTCAGAAATTTATATAAACTTTGGTTCCTCAGTTGCTAAGGCTATTTCTAGTTTCTCCTTCTCCCCCCCGCAGTTGTCAAACAAAAGTGCTCTTCCAGAGGTTCACGGTTGAGTGTGCCAAGGAGTTGGGGACATGATTCCTCTCACTTTCGAGCTCAGTAGGACTCCAGGGTTTGCTTTATATCTTGACTACTGCTGGAGAGAAGTGACAGGTTTGAATGATACGTAGGAAAGCTCAGAGTGTGCACTTAAGATCCTGGGCTCGGGAGTCTGCCATTCCCATTCCACCTCTCGTCGAGTGGTCTCGGGGAGGCCATGCTACCTCAGTGAGCCTCAGTTTCCCTGTCTGCAGGGTGCAGTTTTCCCTGCAGTTCTGTCATGGTGTGAGCATTCCCTGCACATTAGTCGCTGCTGGTCCTGCTATTACAAAGCCACAATGTTTTCCAGACCTGCCTTGGGAAAGTAAGAAGGGATATGGATTTCATTTCTGAATTGTAGTGAGAGGAGAGGTTGGGGAGAAGGCACCTACCTGCCATGGTGCTGAAGGTGTCGTCGTCTTCAAAAGAAAATTGTGAGCCAGGCTCGGTGGCTCAGCCTGTAATCCCGCGCTTTGGGAGGCTGTGTGAGTGGATTACCTGGGCCGGTGGGTTCGAGACCCGCCCGGGCAACTTGGGAGACCTCATCTCTACAATAAATAAAAAAATCAGCTGGGCGTGGTAGCGCATACCTGTAATTCCAGCTACTCTGAAGGCTGATGGGGGAAGGATCGCCGGAGCCCAGCAGGTCGAGGCTGCGGTGGCCGGGAGCGGCCACTGCACTCCAGTCTGGGCGACAGAGTGAGACTCCAACTCAAAAAAAAAACAAAAAAAGAAAATTGTGCCCGACTGAACTGATGCCAACAGCACAGTGTTACTGTCCTGGCTGTGGTGGGATTTTTCTTCTCCCTCCTCATATGTGTATGTTCTGCTAGTGGGAATGTTGCACACGTGAACTTGTGTGATGATTCCTAGAGAGGAGAGACCCAAGGACTCAGTCACAGAGTTGAACATGGTAGAAGCTGAGAAAGCAACTCTGCTGTCCCGGTGCATGCTGGGACCTTCCCTGATGGGGCTGCCCTGCCCTGTCCTTCACAGGGTGCTGGTAGCCAATGGAGCATAGAAGAGAAAGCCGGCTCAAGAGCCAGCTGCCAGGGAAGGGAGACATGGTTACCAGAAAATTTGGTAGGTGTTTGAACTAGTTAATTCATTTTTATTTATTTATATTTTATTTTTGAGTTGGGGTCTCACTCTGTTGCCCAGGCTGGGCTCAGGGGATTCTTCCACCTCAGCCTCTTGAGTAGCGGGTAATACAGGCATGCGCCACCACACCCAGCTTTTTTTTTTTTTTTTTGGTAGAGATAAGGTCCTGCTCTGTTGCTTGGGCTAGTCTCAGACTCCTGGTCTTAAGTGATCCTCCCACCTCGGCCTCCCAAAGTGCAAAGATTACAGGCATGAGCTACCACACGTGACTTGAACTAGTGAATTGTTGAGTTGTATTGTTGAGCGAGTTCTCTCCTTGCTGCTGGCGTTCTGAGGGGATGCTGCGATGGACTGTGTTTCTGTCATGAGTACATGTGCCTCTAGCTCGTATCTGCTCATGGGCTGGAAACAAGGCTCACTTACAGCTCTTACCTGGAGGACTCTTCTCGGTTTTAAAGAAAAGCTGATTAGGGTAGGGCTAGCACATGCAGTTGTTGCCCTTGACAGTGACTCTAGAAGCTCCCACCTGCAAATCTGTGTATTAAGGCCTAGTGCTTCCATTTGCTTATTTTGATCAGGTATAGATGGCATTCTGAATACCATAACACGGGGCAGCTCATTGTATCTGGTTTGAGAATGTTTTTTTCCCCGCTCATTGTATCTGGTTTGAGAATGTTTTTTTCCAAGAATACTTAAAGGGGCTCATACCTATAATCCCGGCTCTTTGGGAGGGCAGGTAGGAAGAGTGCTTGAGCCCAGGTATTTGCGACCAGCCAAGGCAGCAGAATGAGACAGACCTCATTTCTACAAAAAAATAAAAAATTAGCTGGGTGTGGTGGCACTCGACTGTAGTCCTGGCTACTCGGGAGGCTGACGCAGGAGGGTTGCTTGAGCCCCAGAGCTGAAAGCTGTAGTGAGCTGTGATCATGTTACTGCATTCCAGCCTGAGCAACAGAGTGAAACTCTGACTTAATTTAATTTTTTTTTCTAACTTTTGTTTTGAGTCAGAGTCTCACTTTGTCACCCAGGCTGGAGTGCAGTGGCAAGCTCACAGGTACTACAGCCTTGACCTGCTGGACTCAGGCAGTCCTTCCGCTTCAGCCTTCCAGGTGGCTGGAACTACAGGTGTGCACCACCATGTCCAGCTAATTCTTTGATTTATTATAGAGAGGAGGTCTTGCCATGTTGCCCAGGCTGGTCTGGAACACATGGATTCAGGCAATCTTCTCATCTCTGTCTCCCAAAGTGTTGGGATTACAGGTGTGAGCCATTGTGCCTAGCCAAAGCTCTGACTTTTAAAAGAAAGAAAGAAAGAAAGAAAAATACCTAAGGGGAGAAAGCCAGGATCTGGGTATATTTCCAAATTATGGGATATAACTTATAATAAAAGATGGAGCTTTTCTGTGTTTTCTGAACATTGCATTCTGAAGCCAGGTTATAACTATGTCTGTGTGTCTTCCATGGTAATTTTTCTTCCTTCTTTACAAAATTTCAGCACCTAATTAGTTTTTTATTGGATGAAGTGCTTTAAGCCTAATATCACTTAGCTGACAGTATTCTTAACATTATGTTTTCCAGGGATATCAGTATGAACAACATTACTCAGTTGCCAGAAGATGCGTTCAAGAACTTTCCTTTTCTGGAAGAGCTGTAAGTATTACCTAGAGAAATGTGTGTTTTTCCCCCCCTCTTTTTCTTTGGAAGCTTTGGCTCCAGAGATCGTATAAATGTTTACTGTTTGGAGACGTTCAGATAGCTTAGTTTCAGTGGACTCTGTATGGAGGGAATCATGTTTTTTGGGGAAACTAACTGGATTTTTAAAGCAGTGTAATTTCTGGAGTTATTTTTGAAAGCCAGAACTAAAAAAATGCTACTTCCATAGAACCTTTTTTTTTGTGCTGCAATTATTATAACCATGAATCCTGCAGTGACACAAGTTAATTACAGTGTTATCCTGAGATAACAAGGCTGTTGTATAATTACCATTGCTGCCAACGAGTTGCTGTATGGGTAACAGAACCATAAAAAATAACACAGTGTTTCAGGGTCACCATGCAACAAACGACATCCACAGGAAGCCAGCAAGAAACTGAGCTTAGGTCGCCTCGGACATTTGCAAATGGCCCTTGGGGATGGGGCAAAGGCATGACACAGACACTGTGCAGGTCTCTCAGCGTACCTTTCATTTGAGGAATGTTTCGGAACTCGTCAGTTACATCTCACTTTTCCTGTTGACCAGTCTGCATAGAGGAAATAATTTTTCTGCTTGTTTTAATCTCTGTTTTGTTGTGCTCTCCACATGTTTTTGAAGCCCATAATGAAAATAGTCACCCTCAGGGCTGGGCATGGTAACTCAGGCCTGTTTTCATAGCACTTTAGGAGGCCAAGGCAGAAGGATTGCTCAAGCCCAGGGGTTGAAGACGAGCCTGGACAACATAGCAAGACCTCATCTCTACACCCCTTCCAAAAATAAAAAAATTATATAGAATAGAAAAAATTTTTTATATGATTTTTTATATTGGCAAATATCGTTTATTTAGAAAGTAAAGGCCAGACACGGTGGCTCACATCTGTAATCTCAACATTTTGGGAGGCAGAGGCAAGAGGATTGCCTGAGTCCAGGGGTTAAAGACCAGCCTAAGCAATTTGCCAAAACCTTGTCCCTACAATAAATAACAAAGTTAGCCGGGTGTGGTGGTGCACACCTGTGGTTCCTGCTACTTGGAAGGCTGAGGTGGAGGGTTCGCCTGAGCCCAGCAGGTCGAGACTGCGGTGGCTGGGAGCATGCCAATGCACTCCAAGCTGGGCGACAGAGTGAGACTCTGGCTCAAAAAAGAAAAAGAAAGTAAATTAGAAAGAGAGAGAGAGAGAGAGGAGATTTACCTCCCCAAGAAAGCAGATTCACCTTGCCAAGGTAAGGGAGAGGGCCAAAGCTGGGAAATATGGCATTCATGGCTCAAAAAGCCACACGTACACACCAGAGTTTAACAAAGCAGTGGCTTTATATAATTCTTAAAGCAAAATAGTCACCTTCAGATTTTAAAAGAATAGGGAACTGTATATTATGTCTTAAGGATCCTGGTGAAAAAATAAAATCAGACTTGAATGGAGTTCACATAGGCTTTTAAAGAAAGGCCAAGCCACGGATTGTGTGATATGTAGAGGTAGGAAGCTGACAGTTTGGTAATGAGAACACCAAGGAGATACAGCCCTGAAGGAATCTAAATTCATCTACAGATTATGTCACACAGCCCAGCTGTTAGGCCACAGAGCCAAGACAGTGAGTGTCCCCTGTCTTAGCTCGGCCCTTCCCATAGTGATGGGGAAACAGAAGTCAGAGAGGATACACAATACCTCTGACAGAGTATTGAAATGGCAGTTAAGAATTTAGTGCAATCCAGGGAGGAGTGTTTCTTCCCACACTACTTAGTTGACCATGATGCTCCCATAGCAAACACTGAGCAGAGTTTATTTGCCACTTAGAAGTTTGTGAGCTGGATCAAATTATTTAACGTCTCTCTGCTCAGTTTATTTGAGTATAAGAATATAGATAATAAGAGTCCCTCCCTCAAAGTATTCTAGTGAAGACAGTGAATTAACATATGTTAAATGCTTAGGATGGTGCATGAAACATTGTCATGTGAATGCTAGCTAGTGTTTGTTTAACTATTTTTTATTTTGGGGGGTTGGAATCTCACTCTGTCTCTCAGGCTGGAGTGCATTGACACACTCACAGCTCACCACAGCCTCTACTTCTGGGCTGAGGCGATCCTTCTGCCTCAGCCTCCCAAGTAACTGGGACTACAGGCACAAACCACCATTCCTGACCAATTTTTAAATTTTTTTGTAGAGACAAGTTCTCGCTATGTTGCCTAAGGCTGATCTTGAACTCCTGGGCTCAAGTAATCCTCTTACTTTGACCTCCCCAAAGTGCTAGGATTATAGGCGTAAGCCACCACACCCAGCTATTTTGCTGTTTTGAAATTGCATAAGACAAAAAAATGAGCAGTAGAATATAGATCGAATGTTATGGTTGGGTAAAATGATTAAGTGTATATTTTATCTTTTGTTTGCCACCTGCATTTTTGTAGAGATGAGGTCTCGCTCTGTCCTGGCTGGTGTGGAACTCCTGGGCTCAAGCAATCCTCCTGACTCAGCCTCCCATAATGAACATTCAAGATTTTGTAATAAAGTTCTTTTTCATTTAAATTTTAAATTGAACTTAAAAGGAGTGAACTGTGCGTTTGAGATCCCCACCCTCCCATTTCAGCCTTCAGGTGCTCTATCTCTTCTTTTTGATGTCACATACAATTTTAGACTTTAGGTATAGTCTCTCTTTACGGAAGTAGGAAGTAATTAGTGACGCAAAGACATTAGCAAGTGGTTGTTCAGTGGCTGTGTGGCCAAGGCAGGAGGTATGATGGGAGGTGTGACCACCAGGCTAGCCAAGGAGATGCTCTCCTTGTCCTGGAAGGGTCCTTTGTGGGCAGACCACCTTTGTGAATGGCTCTGACTGCCAGATGGACTTTGAGGGGTTTTGCAGTGAAGGCCTGGATGCACAGAGTCTAACCTGGTTAATCTGCTTTGTGAAATTCACATCTTGGATTTCTTGAAATCTCAAATAACCAAGCATATGTCAACCTCATGAATTCTATCAACCAGGACTTCTAATTGGAACCAAACTGAATCTGGTCACCAGCTCTTTGTAGCTAGGTCATGTTCTCTCTGTATTCTGCCCTCCCAGGGATGAAGCCCGTCAAATCTAAGTCAGTTCACCTTCTCCAAAAATCACATGGAATTTCAAAAATGGATTCCACTAGGAGAGCTGAGTGTTATTTTTTAAAAGAAAACTTCAGAATAGTCCTTAATATTTTGGCAATGCTATAGGCATTCAAGGGCATTTATTTTCCATGTTAATATATGCATGGTAAAAAGTCTAGGTTTTTTTCCCTCATAAAACAACGTAGTTGATTTTGGCATTCCAAAAGGATGCTGCCATGACTATTGTAATATTTCATAGACAGCGTAACCATTTGTCCAGAAGTCATCTGGAAGTCATTTGAGTGTGATCGTGAAGCTGAATGTCCTGTGTAGAATTGACTCGCTGAGAGTTTTTTTCCATGTTAGTTAATGAGGTGCGCTTTACAAGATGGGACTGGGTTTAGCCAAATTTGATAGGGTGATCTAGAGTGCTAGGGGTATTAGGGGAAGGAAATCACTTTCTAGCAATATGGAAGAAGTGTTTGCAGATCGATGTATCCCTTATGCCTTCAGTAAACTCTGAATCCTCCTCTGTGCCGGGTGCTGTGATGGGTGCTTGGTATACAGACACAAGCATGGCTCTGTCATCAGAACTGAAAGACTCTAGAACTGTGCTGTGCGGCACCGTAGCCACGAGTGGCTATTTAAATTTAGACTTCTGGCCAGGAGCAGTGAGCTCATGCCTATAATCCCAGCACTTTGAGAAGCTAAGGCAGGAGGTTTGCTTGAGCCCAAGAGTTTGAGATCAGCCTGGGCAACATAGCAAGACCTCGTCTCCACAAAATAAAAATATTTTTAAAAAACCCAGTGAGCTGAGCATGGAGGTACACACCTGTAGTCCCAGCTACTCGGAAGGCTAAGGCAGAAGGATTGCCTGAATTCAGGAGGTTGAGGCTGTAGTGAGCCATGTTGGTGCCACTGCACTCTGGCCTGGGTGACAGAGTGAGGCATCATCTCTGAATGAATAAATGAACGAACAAAAACTAAATTGAGATTTAAAGTAATTAAAATTAAAATTTAAAGATCGGTTTCTTAGCTACATTTCAAGTGCTTAGTGGCGACAGTATTAGCTCAGCTCTCATCATGTGGAGAGTTATATCAGAGAACGCTGATCTCGAGAGAGAGATGAAACTGAGACTGTGTGTAGGGAGTCTTGTGTGTATTTACTTGCGACTGTAGGACTTGGGAAAGGCTTCCCAGAGAAGCTTCTACTGAGTCTTGAAGGACATTTAGGAATCAGCCAGATGGGGATGTACTTGGAGTGCTCCAGGAGGAACCTCGTAGCATGTGCAAAGGCATGGAAGTAGAAATTTCAGAAACCTTAGGACACTTGATGTGGCGGGTTAATGACAAGATTAAAGGGTAATTATGGAAAAGTGTCAGGAGATGAGGTCAGGTCATGAGGGGTCTTTTTTTTAAAAAACAGGATTTATTGAGAGGACAGAAAAGCTTCCACAGTGGGAAGGGATCCGAGGGGATTGCCTGAAGGGTCTTTTTAAGCTAAGGAATTTAGGCTTGAACTTGATATGAGACTGAGCGATAGGGACGAGCCTAGGATCTTTGCCCTGAATAACTGGATGCCATTTGCTGAGACCAGGAGTGAGGGAGCCCACCTGCTTGGGGCCCCAAGAATTCAATTTTATAAAGAGATGATAGTAAATAGCATGTGTTTAGAGTGTCACAATATACAGACTCCCTGTAAGGGGAGTCAGTGTTACCAAGGCGGAAGCTGAAAAGAGTTCAAGTTCACACGCCGGGTATGTTGTTTTTACTGGGGCTAAAGTCGGGCCCCAAGAGCCCTGCTCTTTCTGAAACACTGAGTGGTGTGTGTTTGTTCTCAGAGAAATAGTCCATCTGACTTTTTCAGTGAAATGTACTTTAGATACTAT